AATAATTTCGCATGAACCCTATGAGCTGAGTATTCTTGAAATAAGTAGTATTGTTAAAGTTCTTGAGTTCTGAGTTGTTGAGTCTCGAGTATTGAGTTCTAGTTATGGTTATTGAAAACCTTTAATTGAGTCATTCATGTCTATAATTCGGCATGAACTTTATTTTGGGAAGTCGTTTACAATATTTTTCTAAAACTGTTTTAAGACTTGAACACTTAAAGTTGAGAAGGAGTAGAGTCGAGTTCATTTTTCTTTAAAATGATATATGAGAACTATGTATTCCCAAGAGTAAATGTTTTCACATTTAAAGGAGAAGGAAACTGAGATTTCCAAAAGATTTTGAGCAGTTTGAGTAACATCTCTTTTTAGAGAAAGATTTGAGTAATAATATCAAACCACATAAAGAGTTATGTTTTTAAACATATGTGCTGAGTATATTTTGGGAGTAGTATTGACCACCGATATGGGGGAGAGTTTATACAACTCACAACCCCATAAACCATATAGCCAATGTGGGTAGAAAGTGTCATACTCTTTAGATGATTCCTTAATGCTTTTTAGCATAGACTAGTGGATCCACTTAGTTGAGGCGTTCTATATCCCAGAAAGTTGTAGGACAGTTCTGGCAGCGTGGGGTAGACGATGTATCATCACATAGCTCATAGTGATAGTTGTCGGTTAGAGAAACTCCCATAAAGTTATAATGTATTTTTATATACACACTGAGTATTATTGTATTTTTCAATACATTGAGTTGCTATCTACAGTTTTACAACTTTCCATATATATTGCATCTTTTATTGTTGCTTATTTCTTTAGTATCTTGAGATGAGTACCATACTTTGAGTTGAGTTGAGTTGAGTTGAGTATCTAATCTTTCAGTGGAGTATCTTGTTCTTGAGTTAGTTGAGAAGAGGTAATTTTGTTTCCTTTTTATCAAGTTCAAGCTTATGTTATGCTTTAGAATTCCCCTTACATGCTCGTACATTCCACATACTGAGCCATTTGTCCTGCATCATTTCATGATTCAGATACGTGTATTTAGGGTCATCAACAGGAGCTATGTTGATACCACATGGAGTTCGAGTTAGCTTTGGTGAGCCTCCTTGCTTCTGGAGGATTCCAGTTGTACTTTCAGTTATATCGGTAGTTGTTAGGAGGCCTTGGGTCTTGTCCCGACTTGCATCTTTGTCATTTAGAGGCTTCATAGATAGACAGTAGAGTTTCAGAAGTCTGTTCATTTATTTTGTTAAATATTTTAAAGGCTTAAGTTGCCTATTTTTTAGCGAGTTGAATATCCTATTTATATTCAGAGTAAATCATTTGAGTTAAAGCTTTGTATTTGAGTTTCATAAATTTTTATTTAGTTTTTAAACTTTTGTATGCTTGAGTTAGTCTTCCGCTTGTAGTCAGCCAGGATGAGGGTTTGCTTAGGGACCAACAATGGTTCTCGATTGTCGGCCACGTCGACGATGTAGACTTGGGTCGTGACAATGACTTTATACATTTCTGATAATGCTCAAATCACTCTCCAAAACCAACTAAAATAGTGAGCGATCGTAGTCAGTAAAAACCCAATGAAGAGTGTGGGTCAAATCCCACAGGGAATGGTATATAAAACATATTCATCGTCGAAGAAAACAATTTAAGAAACAAATCTAGTTTCCTCCCATCTTCTATTAGTATTGATATATATATATATATATATATATATATATATTATTACTAGTAAAATCGCCAGCGCCTCGCGTGGGAATTTATAAAATAATACTTAAAACCTATTAGTCATTAAAACTAATAAAACGCTATATTATCTTACATACAAGATTACATAGTAACAAACATTAATAATGTAAAGGAAGATGATAATTATAACATCTTATCATTTATCTTTCAATCAGTCATCTTTAATTTAATTTTATAATTTTTTGTGTCCCTTCCAGAAAGTGTTACTATTTGATATTTTTGGGAAATCAAATAAACATCAACCAGAGATATTAAATTTTCTAATCATTAAATAATCATTTGTGAAGTGATAAATAAATTTTAAAAGGCTGAAAAAAGTGAACAAGTATTTTAATTCTAACGTGTAGAAAGTTCAGCCCTACCTTTTGCTTTACATCTATCATTTTAAAGTTGCCCATTTAAATGTGGCATAAGTAATTATTAAAATGAAAAACTAAAGGGAGAATGTATCATATTTGACAAAAAATCAAATTATTATATATACTTGAAAGGAAAAAATATTACACAAAACTATTCAATTTGTTTGGGTGTTTTTTAAAAATCAACATACCAGAGTGATGAAGTTCAATTTGCCGCAGTGTAGAGAAACACATCTATTACTTCCAGAAAAGTATTTACAACTTGCAGTAAACTTGAGAATATGTTCATACTTCATATTGAATATGAGCAATTGATTTATTGTGTAGTTGTCTAAGCCTTGGGGATTGATAGAGGTTCCAGTCTAGTCATATTCCTCTATAGGTCATCCGGCACATCGTTGAACCCATGTCAAACCTTTATTAATTCTTTTCTTCTTTTCCTGCTTCACTTTACACTTCAAGGTGCGATAAAGTTTTTAAAGTCTTTATATCCTTACATTGACATACCAAATTTGAATTTTGGCTTCAAGAGATGGTAGTATAGATCTTTCAGGAATGTTTTTACCATACCTTCAACAATTTCAGTAGATAAAACTTGTGTGAATGCTCAATTAATGTGCATTATTTCATATGTACTAACAAATAGTTATAACAATAACATTGCATGAACATAGACAAAAAAGTTTAAAGCATGTAGTCAAAAACATAATTAATAACATAAGCATAAATTAATAACTGTAAAAATATACCACGGTCTGTAACTATAGAATGAAACAAAAAGGAAAAAATGAGTTCAGTGAATGCACAGTGTACCCTTACGGAAATTATTCCCCTCTAGTAACTGTGGTTTAAAGGAATACATTCTCTCAAGATAGAACGATTCTATTCACCAGTGTATTCATACAAAAAACTATGGTGTATTGAGCCACTCAACAGGAGCAAAGTACATGCATATTTAATTGTGCAGAAGAAGAAGTACTTCAGAATCTTCGTTGTTTTACAATGAGAGAAAATCCCTCTATTTATAGACAACAAAGGGTAGTGTGAACAAAGATTTATTGTGCCTTATCGAAAAGGTCACAACTCTTTGGAAAAGTTATAACCCTTCAGAAAGGTCACAATCATTCATAAAAATCATACATTTTCATAAAAGTCGCAACTCTTAATAAAAGTCACAAATTTTCATAAAAAGTCACAACTTTTCATGAAAGGGAAAGACTAGGTTTTGAAAATAAATAAATTAAAAGGAAATCTTGGTTTGTGGTGACGCTATGTAGACGGGCCTAAGGTTCTCTTATATTATATGTAGTATATATATGATATGATATATGATATTGGGAGGAGACCCTTCAAACAACATAAAATTATCTATGTGTGACATGTATATCATGGATTTGAGCCATGAAAGAAGTCGCTAATGCTTGCACTAGGGTAGGCTATTTACATCACACCTTTTGGCGTCTGGCCTTTCCCGGAACCCCGCTAACATGAAAGGCCATTCTTTTAAGTCTTTTCTTACGGGGGACCAAAAATAAAGACCACTATATTTGGGGGACGGACACCATGTGTAATATTCTGAAGTTCGATGACATATTTGAGCCTTTTTCTCTAATAAGTGACCTTCTTTAAAAATAAATAATCTCTTACATGTGTATGTACCTTTCAACCAACAGTCTAAATATCCCTTTCAAGCAAGCTGATAATTGTATGAGAAATGTCCAACTACGATCTAAAATTATGTAAGTTATTACAAACATCAGAAAATAGCCTATTATGTTGTATCTAAGGTTGAGAAATATATGAGCAAACATTATATCCGGGAGGATAATTTCTCTAGCGTTATATTTTGGACAAAATTCACGTAAGGACAAAATCCAAATGGCAATCTATTTTCTTGAATTAGCCAAATAAATAAGAAAAAAATGAAATAAATAGTTGTTTATCAAAATAATGACCCACAAATATATATACTCTCTTTAGTTTCATGCCATTAAACGCTGAAGAAGAAGCTTGCAAAGTTAACAACACATCATGGGTAAAGACTCGAGAGCTAATAGAGATAGACCTCCCCTAATATTCGATCTGAATACCGAGAGGCACATCATGAACAATATTACCCAGTAAGAACTCAGTACAGTGGAAAATTTGTCGATTCCATTTTTTGCGACGTTTATGTACATTCTTCCATACATGAATTTGAAGCTACCAAGAAGTTTGGTAAATGGGAATGGGGTGTCTCTTGACCTGTGGGATATAACAGAGAAGAATGACATGAAGAAGTATGAAGATAAAATTTTTACTTTTAGGAAGTTGTGTAATGATGACTATTCTCTATCTATCACGAAATTGATCAAGGATTGCGGATTGGGTGTTGGTGATGAAATCGGGATATATTGGTATCCTTATTTATCAAAGTTAATTTTCAAATTATTTTGTAAGGTTCGTGATTCACGAATTAGGCCTGTATTTTGGTCAAGAGGTCAAAAGTATTTTCTCAAATTTTTGTTTGCTTTTCTGTACTTCTATTTGCAAGAAAGGATTGGTTGACAATTGTGTAAAATATTCAAGAATTAGGACCAAAAACTTGGATATTTCCCCGTATAGTTACTTGACGGTGTAAAAATGTCTACGCCGTCGATGGATATTAGTTAAACTCTTATTTTTTTCAACACTTTAGGTAATATAACAATCTCGAAATTATTATCTCGAATTTAAATGCCAAATGAAATATTTATCCTATTTTATAACTCTTCTCCGAAAGTCCCTTAAGAAACAAGTACAAAATTTAAAAGTAGTAATAATTTTCTCTGATTCCCGCTCAAAGTTGGAATAGAAAACCTAATTTTTGTCTTTATAAGGTGTTGTGCTTCTCTCTTTTCAGCCTCACCTTCTTCAATGTCTGATCAGAGGCCTTTGGTTAGCATGAAGAAGACCTTTTTTTACAATTTCTTTCCCACAAAAGCTGAAGAAGAAGCTTGCAAAATTAACAACACTCCACATGAAGTGACTCGAGAACTGGTGGAGATAAGGGACTTATACCCTGCCCCAAGAATCGATCTGCAAAACCCATGGAAGATCAAGAAAAATATTACCCATGACGAGATCGTTGTGGGAATGCTGATGATTCCATTTTTTGAGATGCTTGAGTACATCCTTCGTTACTGGACTTTGGACGTGGCAAAAAGTTTGGAGAATGGATGCAAGGTATGTGTTGACATGTGGGATGTAACTGAGGAGAATATCCCTAAAAAGTGTGAAGGTGGAAGTGTTTGGTTCAGGAAGTTGTTCAATGGTGATTTTTATCTTTGGTCCATCGAATTGTTCAAAGCTCGCATATTGGGCGATGGTGATGAAATTGGGCTTTATTGGGATCCTAGATCTTCAACTCTAGTGTTCAAATTGCTTTCTCAGGTTGGCTCTTAGTGGAAATGTCCAATAATTTAGGACCAGAAATAACATATATGCTATCATATAGACTTTGGTTTAGTATTACTCTTTCATATAGTTGTAATAGCTGAAGACTTTACTATGAAATTGGAATTCTTGAAGTTCCCAATTTGGTCTGCGCAATTCCATTTTGTTCTTGTGTTTTCATTCCCTGTAATTATAATGTTCTTTTAAGTTCAATGTAATAGTTTAGTAGTTTTGATGTTCTTTGTCAACCTTTCTTATATATGCTCCTCATTACAAATGAGCTTAATGTGACAAATAAATTGATATACTTATAGAGAATGTCTGGAAATAAGGACCTAACATGACCTAATTAAGGACCTCCTTATTCTTCAAGGCTGAATCTTTACGTTTATGGTTTTCATACAATAGAGTGCACTATATAAGATATCCATAGAAAATAAGAGTACAAAGTATTAGGGCATGTTTGAATAGAGGAATGTGATTTCTAGATTGAACAAAGATGTATTAACTTTGGACAACTAATTTTGTAATAATGAATTCATTCAAGTCTTTGTTTCCATTTTTCTGCATAATCGAAACATGAGTTGTTGGTTGCTTAACTGTTGGGAATGGCATTTAGAGAGACATGCATAACCCTCTGAACAACTACCTACATTTACAATAAAATGCTCTTCTTGAGCCATTTATGTTGCCCTTCTAAGTTTGATCGAGGGGAACTCTCAGCTTGCTCTTATTAGTATGCAGTTTTTCGTAGCATAAGTTAAACTAACAATAGTAGTCATATGACTCATGTCTTAGATCTTTGTGTAGAAATGAACATAAACCATCTTCATCGTTGAAGGAAACAATTTAAGAAACAAATTTGGTTTCCTCCCATCTTTTGTAAGTATTAACAAATATAGAAGGTTTTTGTGATAACTCGAGCTGTTTGATCACAATTTTTCCAAAACATCTTGCACTATTGTTCTTGAAAGGTCTTACAGCAAGCACATTCTTTCTCAGTTTGTATATTTCTTTTGATACAACCTTTTCTGCATTTTTACATGAATTTTCTGATATCATCGATCATCTTCACACCTCGATTTTGCCAAACTGAATTTGTTTTGTACTTAAATTCTAGTAACCAGGTGTTTGGATTAGCACTAGTCATTGTAGTTCTCCATGGTTCACCTAACATAATATGCACAGTAGCATCAAAAAGACGGTGTCCGTTTTATTGTTTTATGGGCAAGTGACTGCAATAAATATAGCAAGAAGATTCTATGGAGATTGTGAGTAAATGTAAATATGTCACAAAAGGCAAAGTTTTAATGGTCATTCTTCCGAAGTTGATATATTCACAACAAATACTTGGAAATAAGGACCTAACATGACCTAAATAAGGACCCCATTGCATGCACAAACTCACTTGTAGAAGATTAACCCAAGCTCGTCTTCTCCCATCATATCTACAACATATTCCTTAATCATCAGGGCTAAATCTTTAAGTTGATGGATTCCGTAAAGTGTGATTGACTTTAATGAAGCAATACTGTTTGGGATCTCCGTAATATTTCTAGTTCCTCATGCATGGGAAAAGATTTCTCTGCGTCTTCCAAACAAAAAAGGTTGAGCTAATATAGTATTCTCAATTTCTCTAACTTTGTGTCCACTTATAACACAGTTTATTCAAAGACAAATAATCATCGATTCTCATATGTCGTAGCTTTGCCAGTCACCAAATACTAGGTTACTGTAAATTGTTTGATATGTTATTCACCACCAGAGTTTTTCAGCAAGTCTAGTGTTACAAAGTTTGTTTCGCTAGTTTTCTCCACTAATTGATTTCTCCTCTAAGCTGCAAACAAGAATGGATACCTCCCTGGTAAGTGCTCAAATACGTGCCAAAAGAAGGAATAATTTGTCATGATGAATAACATCCTTGGGCACCATTCTTTATCAACCGCCAGACTTTCTAGATTCAATAGGTATGAAAATGACGAAGGGAGAGCTTTTGCATCCGTCCAGATGTTTAAGCACCTCAAATGACATCCCTGTTTGTGCTATTCCTTCTCTAACATCCAACAGTATATCACAACAACATTCTTCTACGAATATTCTTTTCTTTAACAACTCCCAACTTCCCATGTAGTGACTCGAGAACTAGTGGAGATAAGGGACTTATACCCTACCCCATAAATCGATTTGGATAACCCATGGAAGATCAAGAAAAAGATTACCCATGACAATATTGTTGTAGGAATGTTGATGATTCCATATTTCAAGATGTTTGAGTAAATTTTTCTATACAGGACGGTGGACATGGCCAAAAGTTTGGAGAATGTTGACTTTACCTTATTTATCAGCCCCACATCAACCGCAAATCAGAGATCTCCCTAAATCAGGGATTTCCCATTATGGCCAACATTCACTTTCTTAAAGTCAGGAGACAATTATGACTCTTAATCCTTGTATATATCTCTTATTAATCCTACAGTTTGATCAAGAAAACATATTACAATTCTTTCATTCTAAGAAGTTCTAAGTTTCCATCATTATTCAACTTAGTATGAAGAGCCTTCTTTTTTTCCCGATAGATTCACGAGATACCTTGTCAACAAAATTTTTATGGGAATAACCTTTCGATTGTGGAGTTGCATTTCAAAGCTTTCATTAGAGGCAAGGGCCAACTTGGAATTCTGGATGGATCAAAGGATGTACCTGCAGAAGATAAACAAAAAGAAGCTTGGGAGGCTCATATGGAAAAATCTGGCCAGAGAATTTGAATTAGAAAGACTACTTGTGGAATCTACACAAGGTGAGAAAAATGTTTGTTGTTTTTATTCTGTATTACTCATATTATGGGCAGAGCAAGATCAGGTTTTTGTTGCCTCTGTCCCTGTGGATGGACTGAACTTTAAAGGACTTCATGGCTACAATGAAGAGGATAAGGACAATATAATTTCTAATGAATCTCAGGCCTGAGTTCGAGTATTTGCGTGCTAATATTCATAACAGGAAAAAACTACCAGCTTTGGACGTGATAGTTTGTGAAGTTCTTCAAGAAGAATTTCTATTTAGTTCTCAAGATTCTATGAAGAATTCCCTTACCATGGACATTGCCATGGCTGCATACAGAGATTCATCTTTCTAGGGAAACTCCAATAAGCCTATTCAATGCTATCATATCAATAAAACAGGGCATGTTATTTCTCATATCAAAAAGTAGAATTATTGCAACTACTATAAGAAGGATGGTCATATTATTCTGGAATGTCGCAAGAAATTTGGTCTTGACAAACGCTCAACTCCTTATAAAACCTTCCAAGCGATAGCAAGAGATGTTGGTACACAGGAAACACCAAGCTTAAAAGCACATCAAGCACCAATGTTGCTTGATCACAATGATATCTACAAGGTGATATAAGAATCGTTGTGGCTGCTCTTCCTAATGCAATCTCTTCAGCTATGACTACTACGTAACCAAGTAAGAATAAAATTTCAGATTTAATGTTATGATATATTGATTCTGCTGCATCTAGCCATATGACAGGAAATCAAAAACTTTTCTCTGATCTATCTAAACCATGCTCTAGACATGAAATTATTACAGCAAATGGCTACGTTTTCTTTGCATTAGGTATTGGCTCCATTAAACCATTTTCAAAAGTTTTTTGTGTACCAAAACTTACTGCGAATCTCTTATCTGTTGGGAAACTTGTAGAATAAAAATTTTTGGTCATTATTTTCTCCTAATGGTTGTGTTATTCAGAACATATTGACAAGGAAACGATGGCCAGGGGACGTAAGGTTGGCATGCTATTTCTTCTTCAATCTCTGGACTCCAAAGTTCCTCAATGTTTTCTTTCAGCTTGAAAAAAAGATATTCAGTTTTCAAATAAAATATGGAACTTGTGGCATCTCCGTTTAGGCCATCCACACACTTCTCGTTTGAATTTAATGTTGAAATATTGTAATTTGTTTAGTAAACACTCATTGAGTTTTCCCTCTAAATTACCTTGTGAAAGTTGTGCAAAATCAAAGAGTCATTAACTTCCTTTTCAATCAAGCAATACTACTTATTGTATTCCGTTTGATTTAATTCATATGATGTTTGTGGACCTTCTCCAATTGTATCTCCTTTGGGATACAAGTATTTAATCTTATTGATTGATCACATATCTCGCTATATATGGGTTTTCATTTTGAAAAACAAATCTGAGAAACCAAACATTGTCTAAAAATTTATAACCTTATAGAAACCCAATTTGAGAAAAAGATCAAGATTTTTCGTTCAGATTCAGGAGGAGAGTATGTCAATACAAACCTCACTAATTTTTCAAGAAAAAAGAATTATTCATCAGTGTTCTTGTCCTTATACACCAGAACAAAATGATGTGGTGGAACGTAAGGATAGACATATTGTTGAAACTGGCTTAGCTCTTATTAATTCTTCACATGTACGTTTCAAAAATATTTTGAGTTGAAGCAAACCAAGCATCTATTTATTTTATAAATAGACAATCATCCTAGGTCATGAAACAAAATTGTCCATATTTTCTTCTTTTCAAAAAGTTGCCCGACTATTCACATATAAAAGTATTTGGTTGGGTTTGCTTTGTTCTTCTTCCAGATCATGAACGTCATAAATTATCTTTAAAAGTTGTTAACTATTTTTTTTTGGGGGGATACAATGGTATTCAAAAGGGGTATTTGTATTATGATTCAACTCGTTGTTTATTGAGAATTTCTTGACATGTTATCTTCTTTGAGAATTCTTTTATTTATGATATCAAAGACTCACAATTTTCTACTATATCTTTCTTGAAAAAAATTCATACTCGTGATTCTTCTTCCCATAGTCACCTAGTCGCTGGTCCATCTTCGAACATGTCCTCCTCCACAATAGGTTCTACTTATGACTTTTGATCCTTTTTTTGATAATGATACTAGTTGAGTAAATACTAATCCTTTACCTCATCATGTAGAAATCTCACGTCTAGGATTAGAGAAATCAAGGATTGTATTGCTGAGTAAATTGTTGAGTACATACTCCTTATATAGGGAGAGAATTGTAGAGTCCTAAGTTAACTATACTTAGAGTCCTACTACAATACCTATTACTACTATAATAATAATAATAATAATAATAATAACGCAATTATAAATAATCTAATCGTAGTCGTATTGTAACCCTAATCATAATATAATTCTAGTCATAATATAATCCTAATTAATATAAGTAGTCTAATCCTAGTGCGACTATAATTCTACAACGGTGCTGTAAACTCACCAGTCAGCTTCATTGGACCTGCTCCTTTGACATGTTCCAATCGTCAGCTCCCTTCTTCATCAGCACTTGTTGTAGACACGTCAGTCAGCTTCGTTGGACCTGTTCCTTTGACATGTTTCGATCGTCAACTTCCTTCTTCTTCAACACTTCCCATCAAGCTAGTGAATAGAGAAACTGTTACTCCTAGCTTGCTTCGAATACCCAACAAAAAAAAACTTTGAATACCTAGCAAAAACATGTTTTGTCAATGCTTCGGTATGAATGTTATGTCTAGTCATTGCTTGTGATAGGTCATCTGCAGATTGATACGAGTAGTTCCACCAGTAAAAACACTTAAGAGCAGTATGATTATTCCTACCACGGATTTGACATGACTCAATATTATTCCTCTCCTTATTTTCACTTCGGAAACTTTTATTGTTCAGAGAACCTGGTCCATAATGACTATTCTGAGAACTTGTTCCCTGTCCAGCAGGCTTGAAACCTGTTTCTCTGGAGTTAATGTTAATGTTCCCTCTTCCCGTGCCTCTTTGAGCAGATAATACCATGTTATGGTTTTGTTGTGGCACCTCTTTATCATCTTCCCTTATATCAAAACTCGTGAGAGCATAAATAAATTGATTAAGGGTGAAATATGGTGCCTTACCTAAACCTCTAGCAAAATTAAGTACTTTTGTTTCTTCATTATAAGATTTTTCCAAGCAATCCCATATCTCCTTGGCAGTTGAGCAGCCCACAATTAGGTGCATAATTTCTTCGGTCAAGGTTCTTGAGATCCAACTCCTTAGTAACACATCTTTCTCTTTCCAATCATCAATGGTGCCACTATCTTTTGCATCCTTATCAACCTCTACAACTTTCCCAGCAGTCTGTCCAGTGGAATAACTGCTTTTACTTGGTTCATTCTCTGTGATGAGATAAGTTAGTCTCATCACGTGAATCAATTGGGATAATTGTGTCCTCTATATGAGGTAGTTTGTTGGCTTAAGTTTAATGGAGCAAGCGACAATGAGTTGGTGAAGTGAGAAGGTCGACATAGTATTGGTAGTATGGGTCATAACAATTTTAACGTGTGGTTGTTTGTTGTTTTGATCAATATTGAGAGAGCGGAAGAGTTTTTATGCTCTGATACCATGTAGAAATCTCACGTCTAGGATTAGAGAAATCAAGGATTGTATTGATGAATAAAATTGTTGAGTACATACTCCCTATATAGGGAGAGAATTGTAGAGTCTTAAGTTAACAATACTTAGAGTCCTACTATAATACCTATTACTACTATAATAATAATAATGCAATTATAAATAATCTAATCCGAGTCGTAATATAATCCTAATCATAACATAATTCTAGTCGTAATATAATCCTAATTAATATAAGTAGTCTAATCCTAGTGCGACGCTAATTCTACAGCAGTGTTGTAAACTCACCAGTCAACTTCGTTGGACCTGTTCCTTTGACATGTTCCAATCGTCAACTTCCTTCTTCATCAACACTTGTTGTAGACATGTTAGTCAGCTTCGATGGACCTTTTCCTTTGACATGTTCCGATCGTCAGCTTCCTTCTTCTTCAACACATCAAACTACCATATATAATGCTTCATTAAACCTTAATCACCAACCTTCTCCTACACATCAAAATATGATTGACCTCATTATACGATATTCTTGTCATGCTCCTCCTCCAGATCGATATGGATACTCAACAAGTGAATATGGGCGATCTTATGCCTTACTAACGACCTTAAATTCTATAGTCGTGCCGAATTATTACATGAAGCCTAGTGGTAAAAAATGTTGGGAAGATGCAATGCATGAAGAATTAGTTGCCCATGAGGAAAATGATACATGGGTTATGGTGGATAGACCAACAAATGCAACAACTATTGGAAGTAGATAGGTGTACTCAATCAAGATAAAAGTTGATGGATCCCTAGATCGATACAAGGCAAGATTGGTAGCTCAAGGATAAAGCAGGAATATGGAATCGACTACGATGAAGCAATTGTTGTAGTAGCTAAGATGACAACAATACGTATATTGGTAGCTTTAGCATCATTAAAAGGTTGGGAGTTGCATCAAATGGACGTCAAGAATGCTTTCTTGCATGGAGACTCGCAAGAAGTTGTCAACATGAATCCACCACCATGTTACAAATTTTTTAATCTAAATCAGGTGTGTCTTCTTAAGAAATATCTCTATGGATTAAAATAGGCTCCTCGCTCTTGGTTTGAAAAGTTCCGCACTACAATCCTAGGTGCTGATTTTACTTAGAGCAACTCAGATTACTCATTATGTTTACATCAGTCTACCTGAAGTATTACTATTCTTCTCATTTATGTGGATGATATGATTATCAGAGGAAACAATGAAGTCTGAATCTCTCAATTGAAAAATCTCCTACACTCCTCGTTCAAGATGAATGACCTAAGAAAGCTAACAATTTATTTTGGGTTTGAAGGTATGTTATGAAAAAGAAGTCATATGATTGAGTCAACAAAAGTATGCAGAAGATCTAGTTCAGTTAGCTAATCTTATGGTTCATAAGAAGGTCCATACACTAATGGTAGTGAATACAAAATACAAAAAAGAGGAAGGAGGGATATTTGGGGATCAGACCTTGTATATGAGTCATCCTGATACTTCTTATGCGGTACATGTGTTAAGTCAATTTGTTACCAAGCCTTACAAG